GACCTGAACTCTCTCCACAGCTGTCTTGCTGACAGTGTGCTGCATGAGGAGGAAGAAGAAGACGGCCAACCCGGAGAACAACCTGAGCTACTGGAACAACGCCATCACCATGGACTACTTCAACAGGCACGCCGTGGAGTTGCCAAGGGAGATCCAGTCCCTTGAAACTTCTGAGGTAATGAGCCCCACACAAGAGGTCTCCCTGGAAGTGCCGGCCTCACTGTGGAAAAGCACAGGCCCCAAAGAGAGCCGCAGAGCACCTGCTCATTACTGAATGTCTTGCTCCTTAATGCATGGTCCGTGGTCCTGCAACATCAGTCACACCCAAGGGGTTGCAGGCCCCACCCCAACCCTGCTGAGTCAGGATCTGCATTTTAGCAAGAATCCTCAGGTGCTTTCTGCATATTAAAGTTTGATCAGTCCCACTGATCCTGGGACTTTTGGTTTCTGGGAACAAGTCAACAAATACTCATTGAGGACCTGTTTTGTGGCAAGGACTCTCAGGGGACTGTGAAGATGAGAGCTTGCTCTCAAGGGGCTCGGATTCTGAAATATGGCTGGGGGATGAACCCCAGCATCACTCAAAAATGAAACAAATTAGGGGAAACACAATAAGAGTTATAGACAAAGAGCTGTGGAAACCCAGGGGAGGAGAGCCTTCCAGTGGAGGTGCTAGGAAGGATAAGGGGATTTCAGCAGGCATCCCAGCAAAGGCAGTGGCCTGAATAAAGGTGGGGATATGTGCTGGATGTGGCACATCAAGGGAGAGAAGGCAACACTGAATCAGGGAGTACTGGCCCAAGACACCCGGCTGACCAGCAAGAGCTGGGCTCTAACCCAGGACTCTCTGACCGCGGAGTCCATGCCCTTTCCGTTCTCACATGGAGGGTGGAGCAGAGGCCAGGTTGGAACAGGAAGGAGGGGTGAAGGCCAGAGTAGACACAGCCTTGAATGGGGTATTATGGAGTTTGGACTTTCGTTTTGGACAGCAGAGGGTCATTGAAAGTTTTGAGCTTTGGGTGACCCAGTTTTAGAAGGATTATGCTGATGGCCTGGTGAAGGAAGTCTATACGTGAGCAGTGAATGGATAAGGAAGGAAGAGAAGGGTGGTTAGGTGGATGGATGAATGGATGGAAGGATGAACAAAAAGAGGGACTAAAAATAGGTGGGTCGCCTAGGGTGTGATTGAGATGGCCCAGGAGAAAGATGGTGGACATCCGAGAAAGGCAGTGAGAGCTGAGAGAGGGCTTGTGGAGGTGCAGTCCCCGTCTCTTCTGCAGATTCTTTCTCCACCACAGCCAGGATGGTCTTTTACAAACATAAATGCGGTCCCATTGCTCCCATGCTCAAAACCCCTCAGTAGCTTCCCATTGCTCTTAGGTTAAAGTTCAGAGTCTTTTACAGGGCCTGCAAGATAGGCCCAGCCCTGGCCCCACTCCCCAGCCCCACCGCATGCCCCCTCTGTCCCTCTTCTGCTAAGCTCCAGCCACACTGGATGTCTTTCTTTTTGTTCCTTCACGGCACCAAGTGCCATTGCACCACGCCGGGTCTGTGCATGAGCTGCTCCTCTCCTGCAGTGTCCTCTGCCCCTCCACAGCACCCCCTTCACTCGGTCACCTCACTGACTGCTGCCCATCATCCAAGACCCAGTCAAAGCGTCACTTCCTGAGGGAGGCCTTCCCTGACCCGCTCGGCTGGGTTGGGCTGTCCTGTCACATGGTCTCTGCGTCCTCTGCTTCTTCATGGTGGCACTTCCTAGAGCTGTGGTGATGCGGCTCTGGCCTGAGGCTAGCTCAGCTCCTCTGCCCCGCGTGAATAACCAGCTGCTTCCACATTGCCGAACCCCGCAGTCAGCGCCGGCTCCCTCCGTACTCGCTCTGCCGCGACACTGGCACCGTCCATCCTGCCTGCCCGCGTTTCCTCGCCGGCCGCAGGCCCTCCCTCTCTGGTTCGCCACCTCCCGGCAGCTCCTTCTCAGTCCCCGTTACTGGTTTCTCGACCTTTCCCGACCCTGATCACTGGCCTGCCCAGTCTCAGTCCTGCCACTGCTTCTCTTCTCTTTCTACTTAGTTCCCTGACCTAATTACCATCTCGGCACCATCGACTCCACACTTCTCTCTGTAGCCTTGACTGCTCCCCCAAACTCCAGACTCACGTGCCCGGCTACCCGCACACGTCTAGCGGGCCTCTCAAGCTCACCGTGCCCGAGGTTGAACTCTTCGTTTCCCCTCCCCACCCCAAACCCAAAACTCACCTGGTGTCTCCCGTTGCGTGGATGGCACTGCCGGTCGCCTTGCCCTCTTGTGCGCCCACATCCGGTCTGCAGCAGATCCCGTTGGTTCTTCCTCAGGATGAGCACTTCTCACCTCCTGCACAACTGTCTCTGGTCCAGGCCACCCTCAGCTCCCACGTCGTGATGGCTGCAGTGGACTCTCCACTACCATCTTGCTTTCCGCAGTCCGTCTCCACCCAGAGCCAGATGGTGTTTTCAAGGCAGGACCCACGTCAACCATGGCTGGCAACTCTCAGTGGATCCTCTTCACACTTTGGCTCGTCTGACATCCCTTCATGAGCTGGCCCCTGCCCACCTTCCAGCCCCCTTCCCATCGATCACACACTCGAGCCACGCTGGCCCCAATGCTCTTCCTCCTACACAGGACGCTGTGTCCACCCCTGGAGCTTTGCTCTTGTGCCTGTCTGAAATGCTTGTCCCTCACTGGATGCTTTGATCCCTCACTTCCTTCAGGCATCTATTCCAACATCACCTCCTCAAGGAGGCCTCCCCTGACCGTTCCAGACATTCAGAGCCCTCCTTCAACCTCTGTCTCTTTCCCTGCTTTATTTTTCTTCAGAGCGCTTCTCAGCCCCTGACGTTGCCTCTCTGTTGACCACTTTGTGGTCTGGCTCCCCTGCTAGAATATAAGCTGCCTGAGGGCAGGAGTCCTGTTTGTTGGGTTCACTGCTCTATTCCCAGCACTGAGAACAGTGCCTGGCACATGGCAGGTACTTGGTCAATGTTAGTCAAACAAATGAACTACAGATTGTGTTCAACACAATTTAACCATCACCCAGCTGAGAACCTAACACAGAGTAGATGCTCAGTAAAAAAATCTAAGCAAAGGATAAACAGAGAGACAAGCTTCATGGAAGCATTGACCTTGAGTGTGGCTGGTGCACATTTTACGTGGCCAAAACTGTTCCTAAGAACTGTCACAGTGAGTGAAAAGATATGTAACTTGGCAAAAGGGTGGCCCCACTTTGAGTGTGGGCTGTTAGCCACAGGACGACACTTGTGAACACACCATAGAAAAGGGAGCACCAGGGCCACCGTCCACACAGCAGAGGCCATGGTGACAAGGGCCAACCCAGCCACCACGACCTCCACAGGACCACAGCTCACAGCTCACAGCTCGGCATGCCTTCCGAGTGCACCGTTGCCATCTCCCTCCCAGCAGTCTACTGCCCTCATTGGGCTTTGTTTCTAGTGGTATGACATTTGTCCTGGCTCTCTGGACTCGTGGTACCCAAGGGCGAGGGCGGGCAGCCCAGAGCCACCACCAAGCTAGCGTGCCTGCTCCCCTGGCGCCGAGGAGAGCAGTACCCACAGGCCACCGCCCGCCACCACAGCACCGCGAGTGCTGGGAGGCGGCTCCATTCTTCCTTTTCTCTCCTCTTCTCCTTCTCTTTTTCCTTCTTTTCTCCTTGGTTATTTCCTAAATAACTTTCTCTTTTGTATGCAGTGAAACATACCCACGTGGTACCCAAGTCCAATCTCAGCCTCCAAAGTTCCCCTTCACAGCTCATCCCAAAAGCAAGGTGGGAAGTAGGGTGTCCCACCTGTGGGGCTGCCCCGTCCCTCTTCATCAGGGGGCTGGCCCCGCGCCCACCCTCCCGACAGACGCCACTGCCACGGACACCGGCCACGTTCTTGTCTTCCCAGAAGACGTTTCATGAACACTGGCATTTCTTCCTGTCTCTCCTTATGACTCATGGAGCAATAAGTACTCCTCAAAGGTTACCTGTTGTATATGTTTTGTTGAAAAATAAACTTCAGAGAATTAATTGTGGCTTCTTAAAATGAAGACATTTCTAAGCAAATCTGGCATAAGCCAGTATGCCTAGGCCTGTTGGCCTGCAGGTTCTTAGACTTCAGCTTTAATTAGAACAAGCTATGACTTTTCCTCCCCTCCCCCCACCATCCCCAAATTAATACCTGGGCCTGAATCTGAGGACAGCTGTTCAGTGGCCCACCAATGCTTGCAGTCCTTGGTAGCTGAGTCAAAAACCCTGCCAGGATACTCTGAGCAGTGGATTGCCTATGTCTAGGCTTTTCTGCCCCTGGGTTTGTACAGACTGAATTTCTCACTTACCACCTATTGTGTGGTCACACAAAGATTCAGATCTGTTCAGCTCAACACTTCTAGTACTGCAGGAAATGGGACAGTAATTCTGACCAGGCCCTGGGAGGACTCGTGAGGGGGAAGAATTGACCCTTGAAGACTCTGACAGGCCTGTCAGACTCTGTAGAAGAGGAAAGAGGTGGGCGAGTATAGGTGTATTCAGGAAGGAAAAGCAGAGAAGTTTCCCAGAGGTCTGTAGAAACAGGCAAGGAGTCTGGGATCCAAGTGGACCAGGTCTTGCCCACTAGGGCAGTGAGCCATGCGCTGTGTGTGTCGCACACAGCAAGCCCCCCTCAGACTTTGACAAGAAAAGCGGTACCGTCTCTGGCAACTGGGGGTATGGGGGATTCAGGAAGCAGGAAACCTTTTTTGGAAGCTGCTATAAAAATCTGAAAGAACAACAGAGAAGGCTGTGCACCTCAGCATTGGTAATGGGGATGATGAAAATGTGTCCCAAGCAATCCCATGCCAGAGTAAATGTTCCCAGCTGTAAGTTTAAGAACGGTCACCTCTTAAGCCTCCCCGGCTCACACCATCTCCTTCCTCTCTCCCCAGGATCAGCTCTCAGAGCCCCGCTCCCCGGCCAACGGCGACTATAGAGACACTGGGATGGTCCTTGTTAACCCCTTCTGTCAAGAAACACTGTTTGTGGGAAACGATCAAGTATCTGAGATCTAACTGCAGCAGGCTTCACTTTGCCATTCCCTATTTTTCATTCTCTAAATTATAACTATACAAATATATATATTATAAATATAACCTTTGTGTAACCCTGAATTGATGAGAAACATTTTCAGCTTTTTTTCCTAAGAATTGTCAACATCTTTTTTATAAGTGTGGTTTAAAAAAAAAAAAAAACTTTACAGAATGATCCGTGGCTTTATAAAATAAAGGTATTTCTAAGCAAAGCAGTTGCACTGATTGCTTCTCTCAATAACTGTTCTGTTCTGAGCACTTGAGGAGCCCGGGGACCCGGGCAGGTGAGGTGAGAGACTGGCCTCCTGTAGAAGCTGAGTGTTGTGTTAAAATGGTCAAGTGCATGGTCCTTTGAGTGATTCATAAAGTTCTGCCTCCTCTTGATTCAGTGTGACCTCATTTCCTCCCTCGTGTTCACACCCCTGAAGGGAACTGGGCCACCTAGGAGAAGACAGCAGAGTCATGCACAAAGCAGGAAAAGAAGACATTGCATCCCCCCCAGAGGACGCATGCCCTGGAACCTCGCAATGACACCACTGGATGTTGAGTTTAATTCCATCCAAGTTATGGACAGTGCACGGCCCTCAGGAATCCACAGAGGACATCAAAGCATCCTAAAACCACGTCCCCCTAACATCACACGCTTCCACCTGCTAACAACAGGACTGACTTTTTCTGGTGGAAAAATGCTCCCTTGAAGCGCATTCGTGCATCCCCTCCAACACCCACATCTGTGTTAAACACCGTGCCTTTCTCTCAAAGATGGTCCAGATGCGGGTCCCAGCCCCAGAGCTTAAGGATGTTTGCTCTTCTTCAAGGATCTGATGCTTATTGGGGTTTGGCTTTGTTTTCTCAAAAAGGGTTGGTATTATGCCCCTGAGGAACATGTTTCTCTAAGAAGCCTTGAAGTGTAGAGCTGTAATGTTTGAAACCTTCATCTTGCAATCTTAAAACACAAGACTGCCAAAGCAAATCACTTGGGAGAAGACGTCCTCATATCCTTCCTTGGCGCTGCAGGCCTGCTTGCAGCATTAGCTGATGGACTCGCCGTCCAGCACCCGTGTCCCCACCCCCCTCACTGCTGCCCTCATCCCTGTGCCTGGCACGGTCAACAGGGCTCAGACCCTCAGAGATGCAAGGGGGGCTTCCAGAGATGGCTGCTTCTCTTATTTTTTTCCTAATAGATAGTGGCTGGGAGAGGTGATAACTGCTTTGACGCTTCCTTTCTCGAAAAGAAAAATAGTTTGATAGTATATTTTGAATATAGATGTTCTTATAGTCAGACTGAAAATTGAACTTGAATGTTGATTCATTTGTTTGTGTTGTTGTGGTCTTTTTATCATGACTTTTTCCTTTCTTCCTGCCTTTTCCTTTAAAAAGAAAAAGATGGCCTTCAAAACTGTGTGTCCTCAATGTTGTATGAACTTGCTTAACATGAGTTCGGTTGCTGTCTCTCTCAAAGACCCTTCGACCCCCAAAGAAGCAGGTTAAGTGTTGCTCTGAGATTCATTTTCTAACGTGTTGTTGTCTGACCTCCTTAACCTTATCATGATATTTCTGTTAGCTATTGTATTTGATATATCAATGTGTGTGAGTATATATAGAGAGAAATCTGTAAAGTAAAATTTATATATAATATATGTATTCAAAGATACATATGTTATATATACATATGTGGATGTATGACTTATTTTTCCTTATACACAGAATTCTGCTACCATGTATATATAAATAAACTTATTTTATTAGCCAGAGGATTAAGTTGCTAATACATTTTGCATTCTTTTCATTTTAAAACAATTTTTAAGGCTTCCTTACGCAGCATCAACACTACTTTATGTCCATCTGTATTTTTTAACCTGATTTTAATAGTAAGTTGGGTTTTATGAGTGAGATGAGCTAATAGGATTAGCAGTTTATCATTTGGTAAAACAAATCCTTTAGAACATGTTTGTGATTTCTCCAAGGTAGAATCATCTTCTGTCAGGTCTTTGGAGACACTGGTGTCGATTAAGTTACATCCCTCTCATTCTCGGTCTCTCCAGGGCTCAAGTGAATTTATAGTAAATATCTTTGGGTCGGAGAAATCTGAAATTAGCCTGGCCAGAAGTGTTACCATTCAATAGAGAATAATAGTGCCTAAACATGACATCTTTACAGACAACTTCATCAGGTAGCTTCAACCCTTCATTTAGCTTTGGACAATACGTCCTGGAATTCACAAGAATGCAGATCCTCGGGACCCAGTCGGTTTCACCTGTATTAGGAGGATGTTATTATAATGCAGTTTTGCATGGGCCCTTCTGGGTACACGAGAGTTGGTGTTCACAGCAAGAATGTCATGTCTAAATAAACAAGGATACTAACTGGCCTTTAGTTGATCTAGTTAGTTAATCTGTTAATCAAGTAACCAACACTGATATTTATAAAGTACCTCCTGTATCATCACAAAGAGACAAAGAATGAAAAAAGGAAGAAAGGGTTGTGGTGTCCTAGTCAGCAGGAAGAGCACACAGAACATTCTGGAAGATGGCCAGGTTTTTTAACTTTACCTGTGCTACCATGGGTAGGTACCCCGCTCTCAGACTGATGGGTGACAGAGAGGGTCCTAAATAAGTCATAAGAGGCCTTCTCATCCCAGCTCTGCTACTTTCTGGACATGGGAACTTGGGCAAGTCATTGCAGGCCACAGGGTCATTACATAAGGGGATCATAGCTGATTGTAGGACATGTGGTGATACTGCTGGACTTGTGCAGCGTGCAGCCCAAGTGGCAGTACATGTCAATCCTATACCTCCCTACCTCCCAAGGTCAAATTGGGAATTCAGTGAAATAAAGTATGGGAATTGTGCTCAGCCGAGGGATGGATTTGGTACTTGCTAGAAGTTGGTTCCCTTCCCCTGCTCTCACTGAAGTTGTATTCCCACATTCAGTATCTGGGATAAATACCCAGCTCTGAGTTTTGGTTACTTCTCCAGGGTAAAACAAGTACAGTGGATTTTAGGTTCATGTTGTCATCCCTGGGGCCAGAGGAACACTTCTGATTCTGGAGAAGTTATTGAGTTACAGCCCTTGACAGTGTGGCTTAGTGGATGCTGAGGGAAATTAAAACCCAGGGGGTGTCATCAGATCTTAACTTGGAGCACCCTTGGAGAGCTTACCAGTCCACACTCGTTGCCGTTTTTATTTGTTAGCTTTCTGACAGATGGGGAAGCAGAGGTGTAGGGAGTAGCTAGAGTGTAATAGGTGCCCAACATGTGTGAGACCTGAATTTGCCCAAGGTCTCTCATTAGTGTGTCAGAGCTAGAGCCCAGGCCAGTGTGTGGAAAGTACAGTCCAGAGAGGCGAAGTAACACGGCCAGCATCAAGCACCTGATGGGCAGCAGAGTGTTAGAGGGCAGAGGGAGAAGGAAAGGGACAAAGAAGCTGCTGCAGGACTGAGGGAGGGCGAAGGAAGCAGCAGGCCAGGCTCGTTTTTCCTGAGTCCCTGACTGCCTCCTGCAAGGCTGGTTCACACCCATTTCTGTCCTCTGTTACCTGTGTGTACGTGTGCTCGAGTTTGCACATTCGCACACACAGGGATGTAGGAAGCACTGAGATTGGCCCTGAAACACCTAGATTGGGTTCTAGGTTGTGATCTGAGATCTGGGACAAGTGATCGTTACACTTGTGATCTGAGGTTCCTGAGCCTCAGTTTATTCATCTGTGAAATGGGGCTACTTAATGCCTATCTTCCCCTCTCTTAGACAGTGAAATACACAAATCCAGATGGTCCACCACCATGGCCTGTACTGATCCAGCCTCCCCCACTCCCAGCAGAAAAATCTGGGAGGTTGGGCACATGACCCAGCATCAAAGAATGCATGAGCGCCTCTCTGCACACAGCCCTGGGCAGGGCCCATTTCTCTTTCAGCTCAATGAATGATGGAAACTCATGGAACACAGCAGACAAAGCAGCCCTGGGGATAGGGAAGCTTCCAGAGAGGCCCGTGACCAGGTCAGAGGGACGCTGGGGCTGTAAACCCAAAGCCACTGGACTCTGTAAACCTGCTGGGCAGCAGAGAGGCAGAAGGGGTGATGAGCGAGAGGCGAGTGGTAGTGGACTTGCCTGCCAGTGCCACCTCCAACATGCCCCTCCAGAGGCGCAGGCCATCCTTGAGGGGGACTCGGTCATCATCCTCCCTGGATAGCCCGCCAGCCTCCAGGACCAGTGCTGTGGCTGGCCTCGTTCGAGCACCTGGGGTCTATGTAGGGACAGCACCCAGTGGGCCCGTAGGTGGCCTGGGTGCCCGTGTAACCCGCCGGGCCCTGGGCATCAGCAGTGTCTTCCTGCAGGGCCTGAGGAGTTCAGGCCTGGCCATGGTGCCTGCTCCAGGCTTGGAGAGGGACCATACTGCTGTTGAGGACCTAGGGAACTGCCTGGTGGAATATATGGCCAAGGTGCACGCCCTCGAGCAAGTCAGCCAGGAGCTGGAAACACAACTGCGGATGCACCTGGAGAGCAAGGCCATGCGCTCGGGAGGCTGGGGTGCCCTCCGGGCCTCCTGGGCCAGCAGCTGCCAACAGGTAAGTACCCAGGCCGTGCCCTGGCTTTGCAGAGGCCCGAAGGGGATGCTGAAGGCAGAGGGTAGGGTAGTGAATGGTCTGAGGCCAGGGAAACTGACCATAACCTCTTACGCCTTCATGCTAAAAATGCTAATGACAACCACAGTGGTCACCTTTTACTGAGGTTCTCTATGGGCCAAGCCCACGCGAGTTCCCATACGAGCTCTATTTTCCTGTAACGTCGAAAGCAATGCTGTGCGGTGGGTCATTCATTGACTGCATTTTTCAGATGAGAAAACTGAGGTATGCAATTTGCCCAAGATCACAAAGCTTGCCGGGGGATGGAGCTGAGATCTAAACCTGAATTTTTCTGGATCCAAAGTTCTACTTGTCCCATTACCCTGGGCTGCCTCTTTAACCTTTCCTATTGCAAAAGGGTCTTATAGCCATCATCCAATTGAAAACCATCAAATGGTGTGGCATGAAAAACAGTGACTAGGTGGAGATGTGTTTCTGTACTCATCTGTAATAGCACTGTCCAACAGAAGCGTGAGTCACGTATGTAATTGGCAAGTTTCTATTACGCACAGTAAAAAAAGTAAAAAGAAACAGAAGATGTTAATGCTAATATCATATCTTATTTAACTCGGTGTATCCAAAATGTTATTTCAACATGTAATCAACATCGAAAGTATTAATGAGATCATTTACATGCAAATAGAACTTTCTGCAGTGATGAAAATGTCTTATATCTACACTGTCCAGTCTGACAGCCACTAGCCATATATGACCATAGAGCACTTAAATTGTGGCTAATGAAACTGAAAATTTGAATTTTTTATTTTATTTAATGTTTATTATTTTAAATAGCTACATGTGGCAAGTGCTATCCTTTGGGACAGGACAGGACGCAAAGCTTCCATCTTTTTCCCTTGCTCAGTAGGGCCCTGCTCTCCTGCTATCCAGGGTAATTTCTGCAGACTGCCGAGCTCATCCATCAAGTCTAGCCTGCAGCCTGTGCTTCTAACGCTGGGACTGCAGCCAGCACCACACATCTCAGCAGAGCTCTCTGTGGGTGGCTGGCTTCTCTCCTCCCCTCCCTTCCCAAACGCTGGCCTTGGGATCCCTCGGAGCTAAATCAGTCTCTAACCCAGCCATGAACTGCCAGTTCAGACCCTTTAGACCCTGGGGTCCAGCATGCAGCCCCCAAAAGGATGTCACAGACCTCTATCCTAGTGTGGCTGGGTGATGCTGAGCAGTTGCACACAGGGACCCCATTTGCCCTGCTGCCTCCCATTTCATCCCAGGGTGCTTTTCCTTCACTGTCATCAGTAGCTGGCTGCCAGCACAGTACACATGATGTGCAGAGCTGTCCTCCCCGGCTCTCCCCTGGGGGTGGGGGGCGCTGTTCCGCTGTCTCCATTCAGGCTGTGAGAGAGCAAGAGACCACCATCTTAGAAGAGTCCAGGGCCTTAAAGCCTGTCAAATCTCAGAGGCAGCCATTCCTGCAGGATTCTCCACAACAGTCCTGGTTCCAAATATTTGTGCCATATCAACCACCAGAGCATCGCAAGATAGCCAATATATCAGCATCTGCTGGACAATTGTTTGCACTCAGATGCCACACAGACTTGTTGGAAGAAATCAGGCATCCCAATTTCTAGGTTGAAAAGTAAGGCCATAAAACTTAGTACATACTCCGGCTAGTTATAGGAGCTTTTGCAACTTAACCTCTCTGGGCCTGTTTCCTCATATATAAAATGGGTATAATAATGTCTGGATATTCCAGCAAATCCATAGATAAATAAGATGCATGTTTCCTGCCTACAGGTAGACCACAGACTAGAAAAGCTATAAAATACTGTGAGAGCAGAACAGCCACAACACCAGGACATTCAGCCTCTGCCACTGGAGGCCAGAATCCCAAATGGTGATCACTTTCCTCTTAAATGACTATAAATGAGGTCATAGGTCTGAATAGAGGTCGCTTTTGCTTCTTTTTTGTTTTAACATGGACTTGAAGATATAGTTCGACCAACCTATAAAACAGAGCTGTTATTTCTGTGTTGCATGGCCCAGCCCACCAGCCGTGTTAAGCTCTAGTCCATCAAAAACAAAACAAAACAAAATTTGACATATTTGAGAAACACACATGATTTTTCAAGTCAGGCCCCACAGAGCTGCAGGAGGGATCATGCCACCTGGACCCCAACCCCTCCCAGGCCCAGAGGAAGCCATCTGCAATCCAGTCACTTCATAGACAGCTGCCTTCTCCTCTCTTGGGGCTCAGAGGCAGCCACTCCAGGCTGACTGTTCCCGGGCTCCAGAAGTTCAAAGCTCTCGCGCCCTCACACTCCTTGGCCTGGGGTTTCACTCCCATCTTTACAAACTCTGTCCCCAGCGTTCCCTGCTCTTTACAACACTCCCTTACCTTCTCCCCTTTGTAGCCCCCTTTTCTCCATCTGCAGCCACCTCCTCCCAACCTTGTCCACCCAGCAGAACTCCTCCTCGCTCTTCTAGCCCAGTTCCATGCACCTCTGCTGGCTCCTGAGGCCTCAGAGCAAGCTCTGAATAAGTGAGCCCTTGATGGGCTGAGTGGTGTTGGGCACCTACAGAGAAATGCAACCTCCTCCCTAGCCTGGCCTCCAAACACAGACTCCAAGAGGGACCTCGGCCACCCAAGGGTAGGTAGGGGGAATGTCCATCTCAGTGGCACTTTCTCAGATCAGGCTGGAGCAAGCAGTGGGGAAGTTCAGAGCAAGTGACAGCATAATTTCCTTTTGTGTTCAACACTTCCGTAAATGTTTAAGAAAGGAACCTGCTTTCAGAGAATAAAAAAAAAAGAGGAAGGAAACAATCTCTGCCCTTCCTGCCCCCCACCCCCTCCCAAGCTAACATAGGAATCTCCTGGAGCCATTCTGGGAAGTGGGAGCCCCTGTGCCCAGCAATCTCCCCACAGTCTCTCCTACCCACCCCCCGAGAATTTTCACCCACCATCTGCGAGGAGACCGAGACAGGCTTTCAGAAAAACAAGGAAGAGGGTGGCGGGGCCAGGGGGTGTTGCTGTCTCTGTGCAGAAAGCCACCACGTGGAAAATGACACAAACCCTGGGGGCCAGGAGGACTCACACCAGGAGAGAATCAGGAAAGCCCTCCTGGGGGCGGGATCTTCTCCATCTTTATCACTAAGTTCGTAAGCCTTGGAAGGGCCACGCTTGGGCCAGGGTCGGCTCCGCGGTGCACCAGCAGCGTGGTCCTGCAGGGCCTTATACTCAGAAGGGCCCCACACTTGGTGACTCATGCCCTGCAGTGACCATCTTGAAATCCTTAATAATTTTCTCCAGTGGGACAATGGAGCATGCACCAGGGGCTCTTGCATGATCCTATCTCACTCTGTCTCCCTGGCACTTGTTGTAGGCAGCCCATTCCCCTGTCCCCAGGAGCCTAGGACCCTCCTGGACACTCTCTTCTTGCCCCTCCTGGGGGCGCAGGACAAGCCTCTAGCCACCCCTGACCCAGGTACCTACAGGGTAGCACTGAGATTGTAACATTCTTTGAGGTCACCACCCCCCACCCACCACCAGGACATGACACAGCAGTGCAGTGGCTGGCGAGAAGGGTAACCCGGCAGCTGGAGGGCTGCACGCACACCCTGAGTCATGGAGCAGGCCCCTGTGTGCCTATAAGGGTCTGCATGGGTGGAATAGAAAATAATTAAAATTAAAGAAGAAGATTCTCTTGATCATGAGGTCGAGAGAATGACCACAGAAGAAAGGAAAAAGCTTTATATTTTAGTAACTTTGTGTTTTTTCCTTCTTTTAAAACAAGTGGCCTGACATTTTCATTTGCACTGAGACCCACAAATGCTGTAGCTGGTCTGCTTAGGGTTCATGTATGGGAAGTTGCTTTTCAATTCCAAACCTCTCTCTCTCTGCTCCTCAGCTCTGTTAGAAACTCCCAGCCCTTTCTTCTGCTAAGCAGTGAAAACAGACAGAAACCCCCAAGGCAGTGGCCACCTGCCCACTTCTCAGCAGGAAGCGGCCGTGTCCCTGCCAGCCTTGCTCTGTGCTCCTGACTTCTCTTGCCAAGTGCATGATGCTGGTGACAAGCTCTAGCGGCAACATTGGGCCCTTTCATCCTCAAATAGGCCAAACACAAGCTGGGACTTAGGCAGCCTCCCTGCCTTGGAGCTGTGGATAAAAAAGAGGGGGACGAAGGCAGCCTGCAGAGACCGGTGTCAGCAAAAGGAGTGTAGCTGGGCCAGGGAGAAGCTGCCCGGGGCAGAAGGGCGGCGGAGCCTGAGATACAGAGGCGGGACGTTAGTGGGCTCCACAGGAGAAAACAGCAGCCTGCACCTCTGGAGGCAAAGGCTAGCAGCTGGAGGATCAGAATTGAAAATGGGCCTGATTTGACTGTTTTTCCTGCTGCTCACAGCCCCTCTTTCTGCCCCTTGCAGAGTGGAGCCCATATTCTGGGGATCTGCCTATTTGGGGAAACTGCTGGAAGCTCAGGCGAGCCAGATTGGGGCCAGGTCTCTCTCCTACAGAATCTGTTGTCCTAGAAGGTTTAAAAAAAAGAAGAAGAAGAAAAAGAAAGAAACAAAAATTAATCCTTTCCCACTGAGTAAAAAGAAAGGCAACAGGGTCATTACTTGTGATTAACCTGGTGTCCCTGAAAGTAGGTGAGGGGGGGCAGAACATGAGCTACTTTAGTATCTGCAAAAGCCTGAATACATTTTCCCAAGACAAAACCACCAGGTCCATTTCTTAATAAATGCAGTTTGCTTGGTGAGAGCAGGCCAGTGGGGCAGTTACTCTGTCAGCCAAGCTGTAAGGGACACTACAGTATGTTTAGAATGTAACTACACAGAGAAAAATAAGTTCAGGACAATTCCTCTTAGGGGGACAGATGTCCAATAAGATTGGAAGAAATATTTCATAGGACAGAGGATGACAAGGAGCCACCAGGCTGCTCCCAAGTGCTCTGGTCCTGTAGTACAGGTGCCACTAAACTGCTGTCTGAGGAGGGTGGTTTCTGATTTCCCGGGGACTATTGTTTTGCTAAGTAGAATGTGTCTAAGAAGGAGAATCGATAAAGAAAATAAGGTAGAGACGGGGGCCTGTCACTCAGGGCCTGTTTTGATACCCTTCCCATACACCATAGTCAGCCACTCTTAAATCTCTT